CACGGTTATCCAAGTAGTAAGTCAACATCAAATAAACTATAACTGATTTAATGAGCTATTCGCAGTTTCACGGTATAAGAACGCTTATACTTAGACATGCATGGCTTAATCTTTGAGACAAGCATATGACTACTGGCAGGATCAACCAGATATCTGACCTTCTACCGACCACCCGCACGACCTTTTACAGAAGCACGGGCATCGGTTGCACATTGTTAGTGCCGTGCACACAGACGTGAAAACGACGAGCCTCGGAAGAAGTCCACTCGTTTCTCGCGTGGCAAGCCCAATTCAGTGCAGGGACAGCAGCCCCACGGTCGTTTCTCGGTAGAAGCAACCTCAAGCGCTCGCACGCCATCGATTCCTCCCTAACCGCGCCTGTTTGCCACGTCTTCCACACAATTCTCGACGATTGCCACGCACGCGCCCAGACAGACCTCATTCAACCCGAGTTAACCGACAGCTGTGCGTTGTGCACGATGCTGCCAGCGGGAATCACAGAAATCAGGGACGACGTTGCGCTCAACGACAATCGTTTGATGCGGGATCAGCCGATCAGTGTTCCTAGGAACGACTGCTCTTCTGACTACCACGCCAAGCCAACCGAAACACCAAGCAAGCTTTCAACTCACTTCAGCCCAACACAACCGCAAGGTTTGTTTAGGACTTTTTCATGTGCCCGGCTCAGACAACATTGGCTCAGAGCCAAAATCGCTTTACCATTGCACACGAAAATCGCCTTCGTCCACGCTGTAACTGTTTCGGCTACGACCCCTACGACCCATCAAAGTGGTATCGCAGGGCACCACTCGCATGTGATTACATCCGAATGAAATCGCCACCGAACGCTCAGCCGATGAGAAGTGCACCCGAAAACCCTGTAGACACCGTCTGACCAGTTTTTACACTGATCGATGCCATCCGGCTCCAGACTCATAACTCCTCATCCCCCCTCATAGGTAGCACTGCACCTGCACACCGCATCATCTATCGACCCTTCGAAAATTCCCGTACGCCTTTTGAACCCTCCCAGACCGGATCCCAGAGTCGTACGGTACATCAAAAGTTGTCTAATTTTGAGTTCTATCCTGTGGCCAAAGAAATATGCCCGAAAGAACCTCATGGCCAATTTCTCGTGGCTTTCCCGTGTTTACACCATAGGGAGTTGGAGAATTTCTTGGACTTAGAAAATTTTGGAATTTTGGATTTTTTTTTTTTGGTTGAAAATGCTACCGATGATGATGATGATGATGATGATGTGAAGGTGAAATTTTGGATTTTTGGATTTTTAATTTTTTTTTTGAAAAAATGCTAGAGATGATGATCATGCGAGCGCGTGAGAAGACGAAATTTTTGATTTTTCAAACAAAAATTTTCTTTTTGAAAATGCTCGAGATGATGATGGTAATGAGCGCGTGAGAAGATGAACATGCAGTGCACAAGTGACGGTTCAGTAGTTTCAAGGCTGGGGGCTAATTTTGTCCCCAGCGTAGTAGAGATAGGGCCATTTTGAAAATCTCAAGGAAGAAGTAGTGCAAACGAATGTGACGATGAATGCTGTGCCATTCATAGCACCTACGGGTTTAGGTGTGACACTGCCAGCCGGTGCTACTCAAAGAGTTAGCATACAATCGTCATGTAGGTGTAGTTCGAAGAGCAAGGACAGTGTGCATAGTGGAGTGCAAGGTGTGAGAAGTAGTGCAACACAGTCAGTTAGCGCCAGCAGTAGTGTGACATGTAGCTAGCTGGGATAGTGTTGTTCGCACAAGAATGTGGGGTGTGAGACGTGAGATCATCTACTGAGTAGTAGTACCTTGATGTCAGTAAGGTTGAAAAGCACCGGCGCAGTGCCAGTAGTGCACGTGTGACTGGGACAGCGTGCACAATCATGGAGTGTGAGGTAATACAAATTATGTCACAGTCATGTCAGTTAGCGCAAGCATCACTGCACTGTACAGAGTCATGTAGCTGGCGGCACAGTGTGCGTGTAGGGAGTGTGAGGTGTGAGACGTACCGTCATGACTGTCACTTAGGGTAAGCACTACTTCTAGTAGCAGTGTACATGCATGTACGCGACATTGTACAAGTCATGTAGCCTGGGATAGGGGAACATGTGCATGCACATGTATATGCACAATGTACGTCATGTACCTTGTACATGTATACATGACTGTCTATGCGTGAGTGTGGAAAATTTTCTAAGTCCAAGAAATTCTCCAACTCCCTATGGTGTAAACACGGAAAAGCCACGAGAAATTCACGGCGAACATCTTTCTTGCTGGTTCTTCTTGGAAACGGACAGAACTCAAAATTAGACAACTTTTGATGTACCGTACGACTCTGGGATCCGGTCTGGGAGGGTTCAAAAGGCGTACGGGAATTTTCGAAGGGTCGATAGATGATGCGGTGTGCAAGTGCAGTGCTACCTATGAGGGGAGGTGAAGGTGTTCGCGGCCGGGCTGTGGGAAATGTGCGTGCCCGTGCCGTATGGTCGAACACT